CTATACTATTCAAATAAAGAGCGATGGACGCTCCATATGATGGTGCATGTAGATGTCGTGGTGTACCATCATATACAAGGCAGCCATTCGTTTCGGTGATCCACCTTACAAGGTGCCTATTCTTACATCCCGTGGAATGGTGTCTATCGCTCTTGTAGACTTCTTCTCTTCCATAACCCATTTCATACATACCTCGATCCACTTGATAATCATCATTTGCAAAGTTGGAATTCACTTCCCCTATTCGTGGGCCGATGGTATTAGCACTACATAGTACGTGAACCAGAATTAGGTGCTCAATGTAATGGAATGCTGATAAAGAACCAATGTTCTTAGATCTGACGGTAGGTATAGAGCGCATGTGACACCAGGCTGCTTTGAAACCATTCTTCATGCCTATAAGATGGTTGCAAATTTAGGGCTATGTTGTCAGGTCTTCTCCTTTCTTAAACTTAGGACGTGAGATTGTAGCCTTGGAAGTGCAAGCTCGACCTATTGTGGTTGCAGACTGGAGGAACTTGCAAGACACATGGGTGTTCTCTCACGCTGAGTAGCAGCTCGACCTCGACCCTCGTTCCAGTAGTAGGCACCAATTGATCCATTGGTATTGATTTCCACTTTTCATCAAGAGATTGTAAGGAATAATTGGTAACCTGTGCTTGGATTGTTGTAGTGGGTAATGTTTAAATCGTACTCTTAATGCCTGTGCCCCATCCATGTGCACACAAACCTTTGATTTTGTTGATCATGTAATTTTTTCTATGTACAGGATTTCCAAGATGAACAGGAACATGAGGATAATGATTTCGTGGTTGAGGTATATGGTTTCGTGGGTGATGATGTTTTTCATTGCATAATCATATATGAGTTCGTGGGTGATGGTTTTGGTTTCGTGGGCTACGCTTTTGGTTTCGTGGGTGATGGTATTAACTTCGTGGGTAGCGCTTTTTTTATTTCGTACTCAGATTCATATGGTTTAGCGCTCGCGGATATTGGTTTCGTGGAGGATCATTTAATTTTCGCGGGTTGAGGGAAATGGTTCGTGGAGGGAGTCTTTTTTAACAATGGGGAAGGTGAAGAGAGGTTTTCGTACAAAAAGGTCGAGTACGGCTCACTGGGTCCCCATTCTTCAAAGACTCCTCCACCGAACCCGCGAAGAGTGTGATCCTCCACGAAACCAACAATCACATTTTAAACCATATGAATCGCAGTACGGGCCGCGCCTGGCACCCACGAAGTATTCGTAAGCATCATTACGAAACCGCGTGTTCCTGTTCATCTTGGAAATCCTGTACCAGATGGCTCCTACTTATGGCATTCTTGGTATCGTGGTCCTAAAATTATCAAAGGATCAATGTTGTCTCCAAGAATGTCTCCAGATGTTGCTTGTTTTGAGATAAATGCTATTTGATCGTCACCTAACATATGCACCGTAATGCGTGCATGGTCGGAGTGTTCTTCCAGGCATTGATTTTTCAGGCCGTAAAGTTGCCTCTTGGTCGATGTTGTGATCTCCAATTGCTTGCGAGATTTTGCTGGAAATCAAGCATGCTTATGCATGCTCTCTACCCCTGGTTACACGCATACGAGCGATAGTATCCACCAGGCTGAGAATTCAAGAGCACTTGTCTCTTAGATAGGTAGGTCCGGGCTTCCTCTAAACCATCGATGGTAACACGATTTGCATGATGTCTCGGCTGTGGAACCTGATCCCGCAATAAAGCCAATGCCAATACGCGAAGATGCAAAGCACCTCCATCTGTAGTCTCTAAAGATGGAATGAAACTTCCTATATTGATTTTGTGTGTGATGGCCAGCAACAGCATCCATAGGACGATCATGAGGTGGAAAGGCAAACATGCATCGAGTGTATCGTAGCCAACCATGCCCGTCAGGTGTCATACGTGCACCTTCCACTGGTTTTGCTGTAGGTGCACCAAAGTGTGCACGTTTCTCGACCTAAGGACAACCCCATTTTTGACGATACGATAAAAGTCTAGAATGCAAGAATCATCAATATGAGTTTCATACTCTTATTGTTGTATCAAAACATACTTTCGCAGGTACCTTTCGAACTTTGTTCCTTTCGTTGTCCTTGTAATGCCTTATTTATATGTAGCTTGCGATCAGGCCATCAAAGCCCTTCTCATCTTGTGACCAAATCCTGGCTTTGACGGCTCTTTCATATTCCTTGTATTCCCTGCTCTCGGTCGCAAATATCTTTCCCAAGGTTTGGTGGTCATGTAAACACGCAACCCGGCTAAGCAGTATACATTGGATGAAACAAAATGGGGTGTGTAGGTGATCCTTGGATTGGCATCATGCTTGCGATAAACGTTATCCTTGAGTTCTAGCGTAATAGGATCATTGTGTCCAACATAATATGAATAAGAGATATCAGGATTGCTGTTAATGATTTATGGATATCATTGTGTGATGGTGCAGCATACATTTTGCACCCGTAATTTTAATGGTACACGTATTGTAGCTATCCTGATGACATACACGAATACATCCTCTGTACGTGGAGCTGCTGGGGTTTGTATTGGTATCTTACGTAAAGAGAAATGATGCACATACTATGCTGAGTAAAAAGCTTATACCATCGTTTGGAATTCAAGTCCTTGTTCACATCCTTGATATCCACAATCCTTCAATGTGCGACTACATGGAAGACGTTTATTGCATGCTAGCGTATAAAAGGGAACAAACCATGGCAAGTATAAATAGGGTAAAGCATATATTTAATTGATGAAAGGGGTGCTCAGTATCCGATAGGGTATTCACCAATGATGATCTTCAGGTCAGGTCTTTGTCGTCGTACATGTTTTACATGGTTGTCGATGACGCATTTCTCAGGATAGATCGTAATACGCTTGAGCTGGGTAAACGTGCAAATGGCATGCCAAAAGGTAGCGTCATCATGATGGAGATTCTGGATGCAGAATTTAAACTGCTCAAAACGTTCAAGTCGTTTCAAGATGTTCACTGAAGAGGTCGCTGGCGGGCTTTTCAATTCTAGATCAAGGGAAGTTAACCGAGGACACGCTTTGACAAGGCCATCCAAAAAGCTGTCGATTTCTTCCTCCCCATAATTCGTCAAATGTTGGATCCTTAGGTACTCAAGGTGTGCAAGACGATATACAACATCAAGCCTGTTTTTGATCAGATGCTCAGAGTTGAAAAGCATCACAAGTTCTTTCAGCTGGACCGCTCGAGCAATGCGATCAAAGTAGCGTTGGATCAATGACATCCTCAATTGTCGATGTGTGCGCAAAAGATTCAATTCGAGCCTTTTGAAACGTGGTGGGATCATATCAAGTACTGAAGAGTGTTTGATGATGGCACTCGTTGTCAATTCCAATTCTTCAAGCAAGGGTGCATTGCGTGGGATCTGCCATCCAGATGAAGAGATACAAAGTTTCTTGAGACGAGGGTACTGAAGGTGTTCAATTGACTCGCTATCCAGGCTACTATCCATTTTCCATTCAAGGTGTTCAAGCGTGTTGTGGTACTTTTTGATGATCGAACGGATATCCTCAGCAACTTCTTCATCCCATACATCCATTCCTGTTTCCACCAAAAGCGACTTTAATCCAAGCTCTTCATTCGGGTGCTCTTCATGCTGATAGTATAGATGGATACGTGGACCAAACAAGGTAATGCGAAGGCGATTGAGCAATGGAACGTATTCAGAAACCGTAGTCGCTGTCCAAACATCCTCGCATGGATAAATGTCGAGTTCCTTCAACCCTGGGAATCGCTCAAAAATCGCAATAATATCCTCATACGTGATGTTATTCCCTTCTTCATTGTGAACGGATAATGTCGTCAATGTGGGCCATGTTCGTAATGGACCAGGGCCGTGCTCAATAGGAGGTGGATCATAAAGACGCAGCGTAACCAGATTTGGGCAGGCCAACATCATCTCTTCCACCCACATCTCGGTGTCACTCTCAATGTCGAATTGCACTTCCAAGTACGCCAAAGTGTTGCTGACCGATTTCAATGCTTGAAGAAAGTGTTCAACGTATTCGGTCCTGAAGTCTTTTATAAAAACAGTGGTAAGTAAATGTAGCTTAGCAAACAACATGTATAACTTACTTTCAATGACTAGCCTCTCTAACGATGAAAAGTCGTTACCACCAATCAAGTCACCTAGCCGTTTTCCTTTGGAATTCGATAACATGTGCAATAACGTGGCATGCTGAGAGTACTGAATGACCTGGGATAGATCGCCACCTTCGTACAACTTGAAACGTAATCCTTTGAAGCATTGAAGAATGAGGTCGCTCCATAGCTTGGATACTTTCAAATATGGACATACACGCTCCACAAGGTTATCCTTCATGATCATAGGAATGAGCGTCGAAAGCACAATGTCGACTGGTAGTTGTCTCATAAAGTCAATGCGTTTTCTAAGGCGTTTGAAAGCATCCCTTCTGACTTGCTTCAGTGTTGCATAGTGCGTATCCTTGTTGTCAACCTTATCGAGTCCTTTGGAGCATATAACCATAACACGTCGCTGCTTTCCTTGTTCACTGTAAACTTCGGCTTTGCGTAAATACCCAAGAGCTGAAGATGACGAGAGTTGGAGCATAACGTTGGCATCGCGAAGTGCACCATCAAAGTTGGCAACCTTGGTCAATGCCAATGCACGTAGATTCAAGGCTGACAAGATCGATTGAACGGGTTCATGGAGTTGACTGGTTGCATCGTGAGCGAGCTGTGCGTATTGTTCAGAGGAAGCTGTAAGCGTGGGCTGTTGGCAGAGGTCACCCAAAGTATGTTGGCTCATTGTCTGTTGGTTGTGGAACGCGAAAAAGGGGTAACCAAGCGGAACTAGACCCCACACATAGACTTTTATTGGCTCAAGTATCTCCCTTCCAACAACCTCTGGGTATCACGGCAACACGAACACATTCCTCTTTGTATTTCATTCTCTTTCAAGTTTCACTCGTACTCCTTGTCGACATGCAGCATTCGTTGGCTGTCATCAGATTCGTGTCAACCGGCATTCGTCTCCATGGTGACGCGTCATCACTAGCTGCCCCAGCTGCTCTTGCTCGCTTGTACTTCCACTTTTTTCAACTTCTTCCACAACGCCAGTTTTACCTCCCACCTACGACAATGACTAATGGCTCCAGTGAAGTACAATTGCCAACAAGCTTCATTGTGTCAGCTTGCAGAAGATGGTGGTATTGAGGGTGCTCCTGTTTACCTATCCAAAAATGGCCAACAACACTATAGCATACAGGCAAGGTACCAGCAAGACAAGGCTTTTTACATACGCGTTGCTGGTACATGGGATATTATGGATGGCAATGTCGTAAGGCTCATGATATTGTTATGCGTTTCAAGCTACTAATCATCATCTTGATTATCAGCAAGTACATGTTCAAGCGACACATTTTTTGTTCTACCGTCTGCTGTCGTGATGGTATATGATGTTTCGATTACTACACCTGTTGCTTTCTATGGCTGGTGATCCATTAAGGTGATGCTGAGGTATGTGTGTTTGCAGGATGGGCTTTAGCTAATAGCTTTTTCTTAGTGCGTGGTTTCTGGCATCAAGCAATCTGATCGTATGTGCACAGATGTATGAGTGGATATGGTAAGAGTTGGATAGGATTTTGGTGGATGAGCTACATGCTGTTCTAGCTAGATTAGTGTAGCCTTTTCGTTTGTGAACATAAAGATGGTGATGCCAAACTGCAAAAGATGGTATCTGGATCGATGTTACTTGTTTGTGGGGGAAATGAGGACGAGCCGTGATGCTGAAAAGCGCTCTGGGATAGTGTGTTTTTCACATTGATCCAACGTTTTTGTGCATGAATGAGCAACCAAACATGAGATGACTTGTTGACGCGCCTTGTAAACATTACATATATGATGATTAACGGATTCGCTACACGTGACATGCAGGGAATATTATAAAGCGGCAGGCCCATGAAAGGTTTATCGTTCTAGTTAAAATTGATTGATGTCGCTTAATGGCCACCATGCAAAAGAAAGTAGCAGGGATGGATAGCGTAACCATCTGTAACAGGAATGGCTTCTGCAAAAAAATATGTGTAACGTAGATGATGATCGCTGATGCTACACACAATGATAGGTATGATTCATAATCGTTAACGAAAGGATGGTGCGTCAATCCATATACCATGATGGCAGAAAAGTACCGATACAGGCCACATGCAAACTACCCGTATGCAACGAAACATCATTATTGCTGGTAACGCACTGTGTAACCTTGATCGGCGCATGTCGTACGTAATCATCATCCTTGCTGTTGATACATGTCGCCTTCACATAAGCTATCCAACTACTCATACCTATGCCCAAATCTCTCATTGCACCTGTGTCGCCCAACATAAAGATATAATGTGCCCCCTTTACAGCTGGCAAAGCGTCATACAAGTTTATAAACCCATTGCCTTGTAATGTATCCAATTTCATCCACGGCTTGTAAGATTTGCTAATGGTCATGAAGCATGTGTTGGCGTACAATTCGAGGATCCGTACAATTCAAAATTGTACTAGTACAATTTAAAATTGTCCTAGTACAATCCCAAATTGCCCTAGTACAATTTTGAGTCCTCGAATTGTACTAGGACAACTTTGAATCCTTGAATTGTCCTAGTACAATTTGGAATTGTACTCGTCCAATTCGATGTCCTTGAGTTGTCCTAGTGCAATTCGAGGACGTTGGTGATCATGACCGTTATGAAAGATCTATACAACAACGAAGCGTATTTGGGCCCTAGCAGTAGTATAGAGTTCTCAGTGATCGGCTACCCGCCATTCTACCACCCTTAGTATTCATTAATAAAGCATGCAGATCGATGTTGTTATTTAACGAGCTCTAAGGATAATGATACTTGTATTTGCTATTGTGATGTGTTCAAAGGTTCATTCTATCTATGCCGTGGTGTATAAACCAATCGACGTCAATAAGGCTTTTGACGAGCATGGGTACGAGAGCGAGTATTCAATCTTGTCATGGCTCTTGTAATCCTGCGGGGTGCAACAGGCTTGAGGTTACGAGTTTGCTTTTGTGTTCGGGGTCTTGGTTTTTGAACGTGGGTGGTGGTATTGTTCGTATTGGTAAAAGCATCGTTGTCATCTTGATCGCATTCCTCAATAGCACGGCTATTATCTTTTTTTGTATGGCAGTGTATTAGTATTGCACGTTGATCACCATAAACATGTAATAGTACCAGCAAGCGAATCCTTGAGCTTCTTGTCATTGAGTACAACAGCCTCCTTCACTGTTAGGTGCGTAGTCGCATCATTCACCAAAGCATGATCCACGCCATGGAGCTCATGAAAGGTTATCCCAGCAAAATTTCGCATCTCACGGCCATGAAATGAACGTGTTATCGCACCATGAGCGCAACAAACTTTGTAACGGGGATAGTCACCTTGCCCAAAGGATACCTTGTATATAATCGCAGGAAGGTAACGTGCACCATTTTTCAATTGGTGAACGTTTTCAATTGGCACGCCAACGATATCGCCAACCTTGTACTCAGGTACCTTGTCTGCCATCTTGTTCAACCTTTTTTACATGAAATCAGCAAGCCATGATACTGATGCAATAATAAACACATACCAGTTTTGGATGTTTTGAACGCTTTTGTCATAATGCACCCCAGCAGCTTCGCGTATGGCTAAATGCCGATTGCGGAAATCGTGTTCAGATCTAGAACTTGCAGCTGTTCCATCATCGGCTTCACTGTGGCGTTGAGTATCGGATTCACTTTCACATTCTGGATTGGTGTCCGAATCGCTTTCAACATTAGTGCCTTGGTTACTTTCCGTATCATTCCCCGTGTAATAACCATAACCATCTTGACTCGAGCTGTCATCATTGCCATTCATCAATTCTTCACTGCTGGTGTCATCTGAGTCATCAGCGTAGGCGTCGCTTGTGCTATCGCCATGAGGCGAGGGAGGCATTGCAGCATACTCATCATCGTATACCATGTCGACATAGTCTTCAGCATCACTTGCCAATGGATCTAGCCTTGACATTTTAGTGATACGTTATAGAGAGAGCAACAAAATACAAGTCAACATACCTTTGGTGCTTTGAGGGATATTCATGTCGATTACAAAGTCGTCATAAATGGTTGGGTCATCCTTCGAGGTCATGTATGGCGATGGGTGCATATCTATAATCCAATGATTATATATTTTGAATGCATGAATTAGTTCTAAGTCAACGCACATTGCCATTAAAAACAAACCTTGTACTTCATTATCGCTCTCATAATCAAAGCCATTCCAATCCGAATACGCATCGCTTGCATCCTCGCTCATTTCTTTACCATGATCATCCTCAATAGTGATGAGATTTGCATCATCCGTATGCTTGTCACCATTGTCGTCTGGTGGAGTTTCGTGCTCATCCTCAACAATGATGGGACTTGCATCATCCACATAGGTATCCCGGTCATCACCTGTTTCGCATTCTTGGTCATGTAGCATAGTGATGGGACTTGCAGCATCCATTTCGATATCGCTAGCATCACCTGAACGACATTCTTCGTCATTCGTGCTCTCCCCATCACATGCATCATCATCATTGTCAATAGCATGAACAGTTCCTTGGTCGCCGGTAGCATCGTTTTCATCGTCATTGGGCATGCTGATGTCCGATACATGGCCTTCAGTATCGCCTTGCGTAACATCCACATCATTTGGATCTTGGGAATGTTGTAGTATGGATGGACCATGAGGGTGGGGGTCTTGGCCATAAACCATACGGTAAGGTGTGGTCTTGATAGGTCTTGAAAATGTGATGTTGATACCATATACGACTTGAGAAAGGCCTTCGGTCCAATGAACATCATTGCCATCTTGTCGTTGATCTTGCACCCAATCTGACAATTTCTTCTTAAGTGTCCGGTTAGCACGTTCGATAAGGCCTTGTGTTTCAGGATGACGAGGGGAGCCATAGATCAAGGTGGTTGGCCATTTGCTTTGGAGATCCGTCAACTACGCATGTTTAGGTTTCATTGTTGTATAACTAAAATATCCGCCTTACCATCTTAACATCCTTAAATTCACCACCATTGTCACTCTGCAATTCCTTGGGTGGTCCAACCTGGCAAAATAGTTCATGCAATCGTTCACCAACATGGTAAGCCTCTTTCGATGGAAGTGGATACGCCCACCCATACTTGGTGCGGTGGTCTTTCACATGCAAAATATAACGCATTTCGCCTGTTGGTGTACGAGATCCACCGTAATCAATTAAATCCATCTTTGAGAAAAAAAGCGAACATTGTTAATCTTTGGCCTTGTGCGATTGTAGTTTCTATAGCTACCTGAAGTCTGGTCATAAAAGCATCAGCATGAAGGGCTTTCCCAGCAGTCTTGACCTCATTTCCTGGTACGGACATTGCACAGGTGCTGCAATGGTTAAGCACAAGGTTGATAAATCTCGTAGGGCAATACATGTACTCATTGAGCTATGCATCGTTTTAAGAATCAATTAAACGTCCATGTAAAATACGGTGTTCAGTGCTGAGCGTATTACTTGCCTTATAACGCATGGCATCACGGCGACCATGACCCACTGTTTCATGGGCATCAGTGATGATGTCGTATAAATGTTCCTTGATAGCAATGGTCTTATTTGCATTCTTGGTGCCATCATCCTTGCGAACAATAAACGACTCGCCACTTGGCAATGTCTTCAACACAAAGGCTTTACGAGTCCACCAAGAGAAATTGCGGTCATAACGATGTTGAAGAGATTCACCCTAGCAATATGGAATTGAAGTTATAATTGCAAGCAGTGCATGTCACTTCCTCTACCTTAAGAACTCTTTTCATGTCGTCATACATATCCTTGCTGATGAATGTCTTATCGTGGGCCTTCGGTTTGTTGGTCTTGGCGATGGTCTTGCTGTCACTTGACTTGGGGTTGGCGATGTATTGCTCCATGAGCCGTCCAAATGTTGCCTTGGATAACCAATTACGTTCTCGGCCAAAGAAAATCGATTGCTCGTTGCTGGTCATTTGCAAAAATACGATGAAAGTAAAAGAGACAGGTTGCTTGGTTACCACCCGTTGCTATGGATTTATGTTTAATCGGAGCACAGTAGCTTAATTATACCATAGCGCTAGTGCTGGGTTGTATTTGAATACCGATTAGCCTTATCCTTTTATGGCGTTTAAGATGACAAATGCACCCATCCTTTATCACCTCGCAGTAATCAATAGTAAAACAAGATAGCGATTCTTTTTAAGCGGGTGGTAAACGATATTAGGTGTCATGTATTACTTTATTTCATCTATTTGATGCCGTAACCACTATAGGTAAGGCAAGTAGGTAAGCTGACAATATAATTACACATGTATAATTGAACGCTAAAAGGGATTCAAAAACGATGCTCCGATCGACGCCGACAACGCCATATGGCTGTATATGGGTGTTGCACTCATCCATGCACTTGGGTAATGTCGTCGTGTAATGCGAATGTGTGTCCTCGAATTGTACTAGTACAATTTTGAATCCTCGAATTGCAGCCGTACAATTCAAGGATTTAGCCGTACAATTTGATGTCCTTGAATTGTACTAGTACAATATTGTGTCCTTGAATTGTACGGATCCTTGAATTGTACGCTAACAGCATGGGCCTCCCTTTCCATGCAGTATCGATAAGCTGAATGACCTTTGTTATGGCAGATAGGATGAACAAGAAAGCAAAGGATGTTGATATACTATCCTTGCATGCTGTATAACGTCATGTTATACTTCATCTCGGCAAAGATAAAAGTGTGCAGATTGTAATCAAGCATACCTTTACGAAGTATGAGTGATTGCTTGGATGCTTAATCTACATATGAATGTTCGTCATATGATCAATGCTCATTCTTTGAGCATCACTACAGTAAAGGAATGGTAACACAAAGACGCATGCAGGTATCACGAATTCGGTTATCGTCTAATGTGCCAATGGTATGATCTCGCTTATCTACGGCAATAACCTTCTCTGTGGGGTATTACTATATCTATTTCTATTGATTGTGCTCGATGGATCAAGTCATTGGACCATCTTTATTGATTAGATGAATGGTAAGGATGATGACTTGTGGCGGGCGTTTCCAAAAATATCCGGCTGCTGTTGATTTTTAGGAGGGGGCTTCCTTCCTTGGTTACGGGCACTCCATTTCAGACTTTTTTACCAACATGCTTGAGCAGCTGCACCTTCAAGGAATTACAAAGCTTTACAATTCAACGGCACCATTCCATCAATCCACGCATTCCTCCATGTCAGCTTCGAACCCATGCCGACATTCGAATGTCAAACCTCGCCAATATTGACCCGCTCTTTCGCAATGTGAAGCTCATGCCACAACGCTCTCCATGTACATCACTTGGACATTCGTGTGCAGCCAAACGTATATAATGAACAAGGTAACCAGTGTAATGGTCTCGATACTTGCAAGCAGAGGCTCATCGTTGTTTGTACTAGGTGCATAGACAACCTGAAGCTGCAACTCGCTAAGGTGGATGCCTAACATGCTTTGGGTAGACGCATTGACTCTATCAACAAACTTCCTTTCGTCATTATTATGGATACGCTCGTGGCGACGCTTACGGATGACGATTTCATTTCGATTCGAATTACTCCATATCTATGCATGTATGCGTCTTGTCGTTGGCACGATAATAGCGATTGTTTACGCTCTATGGATCACTTGCACCAAAGTACCGATATCAAAAGATGTGGAAGGCTTTCCCGCTTCAAAAGCATACAAAGAGTTTGACTATTGGATGACATTCGCAAGGAATATGGCTGAATGATGTACGACGGGAAAATGGCTTATGCTGGTTACAGGAGTTAGCTCTTAATGGTTTGTTGAATCACGACCTTGCTGTTCTTTCATTGATCATTGTCTTACTTAGCTTTGCGAATCCTTACTTTATGCATCGTATCAGCAATCCCACTTTGATGGATTCCACCTCTTGTTGACATCGCTTGGCTTGCTACATGGTGGTGCCCTTGGCGAGAACGTTTACGCAAAAGAGGCACACGTCCAGTGGCTATGAGATAGTATGTCCTTTGGAGGAACTATAATCAAACAAAGTATTTACCTATTCACCAGGTGTTGACGTGCAATATGCATTCGCAGCGCCAAGCAAACGTCCAGTTACCAAACGCATCTCAAGGTTGATGTGATCGTGAAGGTGTACAAGGCTTCTATATGGATCAACGGGATACATCGGAAAAGGAACGCAACAGCAATGCGTGCATCAATGGCTCTCTTGGTATATTATTGGTAGGTATAGCCTTGGATTTACAAACCCAAGTCATGCTGACTAACAAGGACTACAATGAAATAGCAGCAGCACACACTAGATCGAATGGATACAAGGTTATTTGCAGCACAAGTGGCATTGGGAATACGTCAAGGTAAAGTACATCATTTTAGGATTTGTCAACTTCAAGTGCACTGATGAAAGGAATAGGATCTCTTTCGGCGATATTATTATTATCACGGCTGCACGTCAAGGATGTCATTGTATAGTACTGTGCTCTCCTGGGGAATTTTGGCCCGGAAACAGTGTGACTCAAGATGCGATGGCAAGGCCAATTTAAAAAGGCATCCGCTGTGCACACGGCCTCCATCCAAGTACGGCTATTGATTTCCTTGCCTACAGAGAGAAGGTGGATATCTCTTATGATGCCAATTTCAGGATCCAATGAGAGTATGGTACATATGGTGGCATACCTTGGCGCTGCAGGTTGATTATTGTATTGCCTTCGGATGGTGTATTTGGTTGCAATTCCTTGTGATCACCATGGTTCACGGCGTCGTGTGCCTTCCTTACCGAGTTGTCCACAATGAGAGTTCTCAAAACGTCTTTACATTGCTTCTTTTGCGTATGCTGAGAACAAAAGCATGTGGGTGGGTTTTACTTGTTATCTCACATTGCGTTTATGGTAGGGTGAACATGTTGGATGATGGTACCTCTGGCAGCAACAGGATACGGACCTCACAGCAAGAATGCTGTATGGTTGGCTCAACTATGCATGGTATTGGATCTACAAAGCGAAACCTGTTAATTAACGAGTCTTACAATGAAACAGTAGCAAGACAATGTATGGATGACATGGAGATACGGTTTTATTTGGGGCGATGATGCTATTGAGAAATACCACAAGGTAAGAGGTTCATTGTGGGATTAGTTGGATTCAAGTGTGCTTACGAAAGAAATATTAGGTCGGGCTCTGATTGGGCGATTATATTGATCAATCAGCACGTCGAGGTTGTCATTGTATAGTACTGTGCTCTCCTGGGGAATTTTGGCCCGGAAACAGTGTGACTCAAGATGCGATGGCAAGACCAATTTAAAAAGGCATCCGCTGTGCACACGGCCTCCATCCAAGTACGGCTATTGATTTCCTTGCCTACAGAGAGAAGGTGGATATTATGATGCCAATTTCAGGATCCAATGAGAGTACGGTACATATGGTGGCATACCTTGGCGCTGTAGGTTGATTATTGTATTGCCTTCGGATGGTGTATTTGGTTGCAATTCCTTTTGATCACCATGGTTCACGGCGTCGTCTGTCTTCCTTACCGAATTGTCCACAATGAGAGTTCTCAAGGCGTCTTCACATTGCCTCTTTTGGGTATGCTGACAACAAAAGCGTGTTGATTGGATTTGCTTCTTATCTCACTTGCGTTTATGGTAGGTTCAACATGTTGGATGATGGTATCTCTGGCAGCAACAAGATACGGATCTCAAAGCAAAAATGCTGTATGGTTCGCTAAATGGTATGCATGGTATTGGATCTACAAAGCGAAACATGTTAATTAACGAGTCTTGCAATGAAACAGCAGCAGCACCCACTGGACGGCGTGGATACACGGTTTCTATTTGGGGCAAAGATGCTATTTAGAGTACCACAAGGTAAGAGTGATCATTATGATGGGATTGGTTGGATTCAAGTGGACTTACCAAACGCCATACAGTGGCAGATCCTCTTTCGGCGATGCTATTATTATCACGGCTGCACGTCAAGGACGGCATTGTACTACACTTTCCTGTGGAGCTCTACATGTTGTGCCCGGGGACAGTGCGACTCATGTTGCGGCCTTACGGATTTAGAAATGCATCCTCTGTTCGCACGGCTCCATCCTTTGACGGCTATTGATCTCCTTGCCTTTAGAGAGAAGATGGGTATCTCTATTGATGCACTTCATCGCGTCGATCCACAGGAGAGTACCGGTACAATGACGTTTCTTTGGCTGTGCGCTTTGATTATTACTTTTACATCCTGATGGCCTATATGGTTCCCAAGTCTGCGGATGATGATTGCGTGATTCAGGTATGTATGATTATCATGCTTTTTGGAGACCTTTGCTGAAACGCGTACTATTTTAGAGCGACCACTGGAAGCAACACACATATATGGCCAAGTCCTTGATTGCAACGCACAAGGTGCATTTATTGGAATGGCGATTATGCGAATGTTCTATAGTGCACATTGGTAAGTGCTCTTGTTAGTATTGCCGAAATGGAATGCTGATGTTGTGCTATTGTATTATAGTCTTCGACTATTGCACAGCGCTGCTGTCTCTTCGTGCTTCAAAGTATACGCGTTCACGGCTATGGCAGTTTAGGTTTGTTGGATGAGTTTGGGAAATCATTCACCATGGATCTCTCATACGTGAATGATCTTAGGAACTCGGGCAATGGGTTACGTCTTTTGGTGTCGTCAATGGTTCCTCGCGCGTTATTCACGAGCAACTGGTTATTTCTTATGCGAAGGTCAGCAACGCACACCTCTTATGGGTGGATCGTATTATTGACAAGCAACAGCCTTTATATAGTTGGATGCACGCCAAGCTTTACCCGTCGCCATGTGGACTTGATTCAACCCATTTGGTGCATGTCTTGAAACAAAGGCCTCTTACCGATTGATCATGTCATGAACAATGGACTTCGCCTATATATGGGTGCCCGCAAACTTTCCATCTCTTGTGTTTTTGGGTAATTGCTTTGATGCAACGCAACTTCGATTCAACATCTCTTATGGATTCAATCGACCTTTTCAACACAAACGGCCACTTGTATATCTTTGGTGTCAGCACGCCTTCCATGTCATGGGCGTTCTGGTTATCGACAATCCCATTCACGGATCTCTGCAACTAAAGTGGATCATGTCATCAACAAACAATGAGAGCTGCGTTGACATATCTGCTGTTACGAAGGTTATCTATGTATCTCCCCAAGGCATCAATCGTCAAGCTGCGTTCCATTCCATATGAAAAACGATTGCCATTCACATTGCTTTTTAGCCACATGTACGTCACTCCGCAGCTAGGATGCTGGTTCGGGCTTTTCGATTGATGGCTTCTACGATTTGCATGTTGTATTGGGTAGCAAAGATGGCCTCGTTGTCTCTTCTTCCAATGGCTCTCAGGATAATGTAAGTATACTTGCGTTGGTGGTACCGATATTGCTCAAGCTTCGCATGGCATTTTCATCTCAAGTGTCATTTATGGTCTACAGGTCCAGTGCCAACACAGGGTGTTCTATCAAGTGGTCGATTGCAAAGGGATTGGTTTGGTTGGGATATGGAATGGTGTTCATGGATATGGCTGTCATCGGTAAGTAGTGATCTTTTCTTTTCTACAACACGTGCTTACCTTCTCCTTTTATTCTATATGCGGGCAGTTAAGGGAGCTACGCGTGTTCTGGTACTTTGAACTCTTCATGGATGCTGCAACCATGGGCCGGCAAGAGCGTTTTGTGCATATGGCTATAATTGGTAAATGATGATCCATTCATTACGTAAACGCCTACCAACCACCTCTTTTATTATAGCATGTGAGATATGCAGCGTGCTACTTCTGCTTTGATGCTTTGGAAATGCCTTGGATGGATCTATCATAGGTACGTACTGCTCTATGGGGTTTTGAAAACTGTTTGCTGTCCATCGTTTATACATAGGTGAACCATGGCAACATCAAGCAGCACCATTACGGCATCTTTCAATGCCTGCAGGCTTATTACATCATTTTATGACTCATGTGATGCATCATGCTCAGCATTTCCTTTTGTGTAAGTCTGCAACAACATGCAATGATTCTAAACCTCTCGTTGACTTCATCCTGTATATGTTTCACCATGATTCAAATAGTCTATAATCCTTCGGCTGGTGTCCCTTTATGCATGCCCGGTATCGGTGGATCATATCAACAACAATCACAAAGCAGCTATCATCAATCGCAAGCCTACCTTTGGTGTCACCAACATTCATCTGATCGCTTGATGGCTTCCTTTATTGGCCATTCGCATACAAGGGCGTTCATCAGTGCAGTCATTTATGGATGCATCACATCAGGAGGACACAACAATGCTTTGCCTCGTTTCGGCGCTATCAAAGTCTATTCATCATTCAACGCTTTCATCGCCAAATATCGATTCATTGCATCCCCATTCATTGGTATGCATACCTTTGGATCTACAGTACAAGAGCTATCAATTCTAACGAGCTTTCCAGTGAACGAGCATGGACAGATTACGGATGGCATGGGACTACGATTTCGGTTTGAAGCAAGGTAGCTATTGAGAACACAAGGTAATAAGGGTCATTGTGGGATATGTTGTATACAAGCGCGTTTACGGTGGAAGATATGCAATCCCAGAATCAACAAGGCTTTGTCCCCGGTTATACCATTACCACGCCAAAAATGGTATTGTACTATGTCCTCTTTTGGGGAACCATGTCGCAGGACCAATGTTTATTCCACCTTGATGGCGTATGTCGTTCGACGTCTATGGGATCATTGGGATTGAGGTATGTTTTATTCTGATGCTTTTTGGAAACTCTTGCTGAAACGCCTACTCTTTAGATGGACTACTGCAAGCAGCCTAAACCTATGATCACCGAGTGTATCATGTTATCAGCCATGGTAAGGCATTGGGTACGCATCTCTTTAGTGTTATTGAAAGTGGTTGCCAACATGCCTCTTTTAGATGGATCCCATTGCAACAAGCACATGTTTGGGGGATTTGAATCCGCAGGATGGCATTTATCAGTGCTAGGTATTGTTTAAGGGTCTGGAAGATGGTTTACTATTCCTTACATAGATCCATCATAGATCATCATCAAGCTGCGAAGACCTTATCTTCCTTATCATTCACGTTTACCTGAGCATCGGGTGGTTGTTGCGTGCTACTAATCTCTTACACGGCCGCGTATCGACGTTATGGTTTATGGATTGATCGTATGGATAGCAAGCAACAACATCTACGGCCTTGTGGTGCCAGCAAGCGTTATCGCCTCATCTGTGGATTCATGTTACGGACAACCTGCGAGTGTATATCTTCTGGTTCCCAACTTTTAACGGCGGGTTACTCTGCATCAGTAAGAGACACAAGGCATTCACCTATGTTCAGGATCACGCCTATTCGATTCCTGTATGACGTTGAACATCGCGTACTGTCCCTGATTTAAAAGTCTTTGGACATTGGCTCCTGTATGGCGTCCTTCACACGAAGTAAGTATGTGGTATTTGGTAATATCAATATTACGCGTATTCTTACAACATGAGCGTGCTAGGTATGGTTGCTTCGCTTCAATTCTTGGTACCAACTTGCTACATCCCTTGAAAGTGGATCATCCGGAAGAGCGTAACCAGGGTCTCGTACATATGGCAACCATTGTAAACCGATCCCGCAAGCTTTTACGACACTTGTCAAGTTCCTCGTTTCCAACCAGTAGCGGTGGATTGTGACGCTACAGGTACGCTTTGTATTGGGTTTACAACGTAAGACTAGGTGATTAACAAGCATTACAATGACGAAGCATCAATACATCTTTGGAGCGGATGGATACAAGGTTACTTGCACCAGCAATGTTATTTAAGGTAAAAGGGTTCAATCTGGGATTGGTTGCATTCGAGCATCTTGGCAACTTGTTGGAAGGATATTGATTGAGGTAACCCTTTATAGGTGGATCTTATGAGCAATCGGCAGCGGGCAGTATTTCTGTTATGTGTCAGCAATGTTTATCACGCCACCTGGTGCTTTGTGTTCCGAGCAACATGTTTGATGTACATCTTCCGGGTCTCATCCTTTGTTGGTGTGCGAATGACTCCCTATCTTCGACGTTCATGAGACGAACACCTTTATCGGGCATCACGTTGATGCAATTATGTACCAATATGGTTTTGGCTATCAAGCACCATCGTTTTGTTGAAAGAGAAAACCAACAATCGTCCATTTATCGAATGCTTGATCTCACGTAAGTGTGTTATAGTTTATGATACCGATTGTCTTCACGCCTCTGACATGCTTACTGCCAGGCATCCTTTCTTCGCTTACTTGGCATGTGAGAATGTCCCATGTCTTGGCAAGTGGACTTTTGCAAAGCGTCGGGGTCCTTTGGATATTTACAAATTTGATGGATATATGCGGATCACTGGTAAGTAATGATCCGGTCTTTTCTACAACGCCTACCAACATCCTCTTTTATGATAGCATGTAGGCTATTCAACAAACTACTTCTCTTCTGGTGCTTGGATCCTTCAAGGACGAACCTATCATTGTGAGTATCGTACGTTTGTGTTTGGGACAAATGTTCACCATGCATTTTTAGGTACACCATGTCAGGATCAAGCAACAACGTCCACAGCATTTCTCAGTACCGGCACACCGTATTACGTGATTACATTTGAACATTACTTGCATGGACGTCTGCAGCACCAAACAACGGCATTTATACCTTTCGGTGAGCCAATGCGTTATCTTGTGTCGATCTTTCATTTTGATCCATATCCTGACACGCCCGCATGTTACGCGTCAATCATATCAACATCAATCACAAGGTAGCAATGCGCAATGTGGAACATATTTGAGAAGTGTAATCTGCGATTTGAGATGTGGAACAAGCCATTTGGGAAGTGGAACAAGCTACTTGCGACGTTGAACACGCCATTTGAGAAGTGAACCAAGCTACTGCAAGAAGTGGAACAAGTTATTTGAGGAGTGGAACAACCTATTTGAGAAGTGGAACAACCTATTTTGGATGTGGAATGCGCCATTTAAGAAGTGGTACAAGTTACTTGAGAAGTGGAACAACCTGTTTGAGATGTGGAATACGGCATTGGAGAAGTGGAACAAGGCTTTCGAGAAGTGGAACAAGACATTTGAGAAGTGGAACAAGCCTTTCGCGAAGTGGAACACAACATTGGAGAAGTGAACAAGCATTCTTGGAAGTGGATCAAGCTACTTGATATATGGAACAACCTATTTGAGAAGTGGAACAAACTACATGAGAAGTGGAACACGACATTTGAGTAGTGGCACAAGCTATTGGAGATGTGGAATACGCCATTGGAGAAGTGGAACAACTCATTTGAGAAGTGGAACAAGGATTTTGAGAAGCGAAACACAACATTTGAGGAGTGCAACAAGGTTTTTGAGAAGAGGAACGCAACATTTGAGAAGTGGAACATGCCGTGTGAAAAGTAGAACAAGCCATTTGAGAAGTGGAACAACGTATTTGAGAAGTGGAACACGCCATTTGAGAAGTGGAACAAGCTACTTGAGAAGTGGAACAATGTATTGGGAAGTGGAACAAGCTACTTGAGAAGTGGAACAACATATTTGAGAAGTGGAACAAGCCATTGGAGAAGTGGAACAAGGTACTTGAGAAGTGGAACAACGTATTTGGGAAGTGGAACAAGCTACTTGAGAAGTGGAACAACGTATTTGGGAAGTGGAACAAGCTACTTGAGATGTGGAACAACCTATTTGAGAAGTGGAACAAGCTACATGAGAAGTCGAACACGACATTTGAGTAGTGGCACAAGCTATTGGAGATGTGGAATACGCCATTGGAGAAGTGGAACAACTCATTTGAGAAGTGGAACAAGGCTTTTGAGAAGCGAATCACAACATTTGAGGAGTGCAACAAGGCTTTTGAGAAGCGAATCACAACATTTGAGAAGTGCAACAAGGCTTCTGAGAAGAGGAACACAACATTTGAGAAGAGGAACACAACATTTGGGAAGAGGAACACAACATTTGAGAAGTGGAGCACGCCGTTTGAGAAGTGGAACTTGCTATTTGAGAAGTTGAACAAGTCATTGAACAAGTGGAAGAAGCTACGTGAGAAGTGGAATATGCCATTTGAGAACTGGAACATGCCATATGGGAAGTGGTACACGCTACTTGAGGTTCAAGGTTATCGGTTTCCCAAGTCATCATCAAGAAGATTCGTTTCCCTGGAGAACGGCTATCAGCACTGGTTATTGTATGCATATCTCCATGGCAACGAAATTGGAATTGGGTGTTGAGTGGCACTGAACATTGTAGACTTCCATATGGCTTTCACTAGGTACATACATTCCTTCCATTATGTGCAAGACAAATCAGTAACATGCGCATTGATAGGTCTCTCATTCCATCCAGCAATCGTTTGAGTTACTCCTTGGTGTCATGAAGGTTGTCAGGGGCTGGCTACAATTGTCGTACGGGGCGCTTTCGTTGTGATGGACGAAGGTCTCTATTTTGCTTTGGATGTTTTTCTCGGAGGCAACATGTGGATCATCGTAGGGTTGTGCCTCTCAACTACCATCTCGGTGGGCCGGCAATCAGCTACCTGCAGCTAGTCTCGCTTGTTGGTAGATCATGAAAGCAACATTTCTTATTGGTTCTATGGTATAGCCCACTGTTGGATTCCCTCAACGGATACCTTGAGCAATCTCTCAGCAAGTGAAAGCTTTAGCTTGTGCTATTCCATGGAGAGGGGATCTATTTGGTGCTGTGCACGATGTGTCGCTGGTGACGCCAAGGCAAAAAGGACGTTTGATAACAGCAACTACGGATATGGTAGATATTTCTCTTTGCTATGGGTGGAGCGGGATCGTACCTTGCTCTCTGAAGTAAGGCGTCCTTGGCAGCTATGGTTTACATACAACCATGTGACAGCGCTATCGTGGCCCTATCAATTGCATTGAGGATCTTTGAGGATTACAGCCTTAGCCATTTGAAGTGACACAATTGATCAGTGACGATGGAGTATATGCCAAGGTTATATGGTGGGGTAGCGAATTCTGTGCAAGGAGCCTATGTTTACGGTACGTTTCTACCATATCACAGATCACGTCGTTCTTTAATTACAAGCCGCGTTACATGTTACATGTAGCTAATGTAAAAGGTAAGTTGGGCGTTATGGAACGAACATGCAAGTAGGCTAGGCTTAAGTTCTTTGCCAGGTATGGGAGATGACGAGCAACCAGTTTACAGAGGCGTCCTTTTTGTTTTCATCCTGCAACATGCTGTTTCACATTACCTACTACTCGACGGCAACCATTCGACGGACACTATGTCGACGATCATTCAGCGCCATATCCACCTAGTACGACACGCATCTAACACTGTCCATTATTCCTGAAACAAGAAAACTGTAAAAGCATATGCCTATCAGTATACACAACGAACAAATGCAAGCCTACATTTGCACACTATCAACACGTTACTCATCTTGATGGATGCACTCTCCCACACACCTTTTGCTAATGAGCTTTTCCTAATGTCGAATTACGGTCCTGTTGTTGTTGAATCTGGCTATAACAAACAAGCTGAAGCTGAGTACACAGAGCAACCGTTTTGACGCACACAAACGAAAATGACCCATCAGCATGCACCTTTAGACACAGCACCACTCAGCATCTCTCACACTTAGCCGCTTCAATAGCAACACTGATGATTACTGCCACAACGTCTGGATGAATGATTGTTTATTTCATATATAAAAACTACAACATATAAAAGAGACGGCTATCTGGCTATAGACATTGTATTACTTATATAGGAAGATGACCATATAGATGCTTTTGTGTATAAGAAAAGCTTTACTTAATAAAAGTAAACACCTAGCTGTGCCAATTCTTAGCCCATCGATGAAGATGGTTTCCAGGTGCGACCACGAGGAGGTGATTGGCAATCCACACCCGTAGTTTAACGTCATTTCGGACGGATTGGTTTAACATCGTAATCAGGATGCAAGTTTTCGTCATTGAAGACGACCAATTTATAGTCGTGGTCAGACTACCACCAGCACCACCCATACACATACCTCTTTATCCCCCTTCTTTTCCCTTCACCACCCATGCACATATCCCAATAGTCCTCTTTATCCCCTCTTCTTCACCACCCATTCACCTACCTGTACCCCAATAGTCCTCTTTATCCCCTCTTCTTCACCACTCATTCACCTACCTGTGCCAAAGAAACTTACCTTTGAAGACCGTCGGAGGAGTGGAAAGAAAGATACTTTGGAGTTGGGGAAAAAAGGCTTCTCTTTTATACCCAATGGGTTGCGCAACACCTTAGACGCGTAAGCGTTCGTGTCACCCGAAACCTTATCCATTTTCCTACTTTTTGTATAATCTTCATATGTCATTTACTCAAAACCTTTGAATTCAACCTGTTGTTGGCCATTAGATAAACGTGTTCCTCTCATCGAGACGATTCGAATGGTATATTGTTTGCCATGATTTTCTTTACTTTTGTCCATATCAACATTGTCATGGTCACGTAGTACAATTTCCTTTTTGGGCCACGGTTTCAGATCTCGGGCCGAGCTCTTTCGTACCACTTCTACATGGCGTAACGCGTTGATTTTCAAGTAAACCTCATTTGTGGTAATAGAAAAACGTGATCGTCGCGATACGACGAGCCTAACGGTATGCTCTTTGTATAGGTTTGAAAGAAGTGAATTTATCAGGTGTCGATGCACAGCACTGTTTCAGCCATTCAGGATATAGAAATCTATAATACGAATAGCATACCGTTATGCTCGTATCATCAAGACGAACACGTTTTTCTGTTACCACAAACGAGGTTTACTTGAAAACCAAGGAGTTGTACCCTGTGGCAGTAGTTCGAAAGAGCTCGGCCCGAGATCTGAAACAGTGACCCAAAAAGGAAATTGTACTACGTGACCATAGCAATGTTGACATGGACAAAAGTAAAGAAAACCATCGCAAACAATATACCATTCGAATCGTCTCGATGAGAGGAACACGTTGTTCTAATAGCAAAAAACATGTTGAATTGAAAGGTTTTGAGTAATTGGGATCCGAAGATTTTAGCAAGTTGGTCAAGTTTCGTGTGACACAAACGCTTACGCGTCTAAGGTGCTGTGGCAACCCACTTTCGTATAAAAAGGAGATCCTTTTCCCCCAACTCCAAAGTATCTCTCTTTCACTCTAGGTTCCTGGACAAGACCGCAAGTATGGCTCGCTAGGTCCTATAAACAAGCGTCACGAAACACGGTATCCAGGTTAGCTGGGGGAG